TCAGAGGGCTCAAAAATGTGTGAATGTATGGACATTAAAAGCTCTAGCAAGGAATATATTTACAAGCAACATGTATGAAGATCTGGTTTCAAATACAAATCATAGAGATTTTTTCTCTCATCTCTGAAAGAAATGGGGCAGGCAAAGGCGACGAAGGCATACCCCATCAGCCTGTTGAGTTTGGCATTTCATATGCACCTAATGATGACAACTTCAGCATGCATTACAGATGCCTACATGTTGCATGAAAACCTTGCTACAGGTCAGCTGCCTCCCAACTCTAGAAAATAAAGGTCACCAAAGACCAACTTAAGTGCAATCAGCCGAGAAAAGGGGTTAAAAATTAAAAACTCAAATGAGTAATAACTGAAGTGCATATGGCGAAAGAGCACAACACAAGGCAATGCCGTCTTGGAAACGAACCAATTCCCTGGGTCATAGTCATAAGCTCATATAAAAACAGCATAAAATGCAACCATTTGTTATTGTACATTAGCATATTAGAGTCAGTAAAATTTACATAATTTAGAAATCGCATTTATGAACCATAGATTTAGCGTATTTTAAAATTTCAACTTACTGTACATACTGTCCTTCTATTCAACAATGTAACCTTCTGCACACACAAATAAAATTTCAATGCAGTACTTACAAATTCAGGACTCATAATCAAACAAACCTTCAGCTTGAATGGGAACAATACAAGGGCACAATCTTGACAAGGCTTACTGTCAGGCATAACAGTAGCAGCAGCAATATATTATCTAAGTAACCACTGCAAAGATTAGAATTTCTCTGCTGTATCAATGTGTTCTTAATCACATTCATAACTGCTTTAGATGAGATGCAATTAAGAATACCACATACCAAGTTGGGGCAAAAATGCCATATTTCATCTTCCACAGAACAACTTAAATCATTCATGCCCTGGTCACATATAGTTAAACAAACAAAACAGAAGCACATCACAAGTTCTATAAATTTTACGGCTAGGGACAGAAATTGCACACACACTGGTATAAGTGATTGGAAACTGGTTCAAATCTGTAACACAACAGAAGCTCAGTGCACATAAACCACTTACAAAATGGTCAAAAGCAGCTTAAGGTAAACCTGGATGGATGCAGTATCAGACTTCACTGATTTATGTTAAAATGGCTTATTGAACTTCTGTGTCAGAGCCCCTCCAGATTCAAGTTAACCCACAGTCCCCCAGCATCCCAGGATGTTTTGCACCTCCCCTGCAACCCCTTCCCCGACAGGGTGGGTAGGCTAGCCTCAGCCCAAGCTGCCTGCTCCAGCTGAGTAAAGAGGCATGCTCTATCGTCCCCCAGCTGAAGGCCTAAGCCACTGCTGGCATGTGGCTGCATTTGCAGTATCAAAAGTGAATGTCTGTTCATTTGCTTAGTAGTTCAATCTGCACAGCTTCGGCTAACTGGCAAAGACTGAACTGATTCAGCCTTGGGCTTTTTAACCGTCTCTACTTAGCCAAATGTTTACTAAATGGTGTGCCGTCGGCCATGTCCAGCACACTGCTGCAGCACACTGGTATGCCATTGGCCATGTCCAGGTGTGCCACAGAATCTTGGGGGGTGTGGCCCTGGCCAGCCCCACGCCAATGCTCCCCCCCCCCGCATTTGGTTGCTCAGCACACCCATCCCTCTGTCCTGCATCCAGCCAGTGTGCCACGGGACAGAAAAGGTTTGGAAACTCCAACTTAGCCTATGTGATTAGAGTTCCATTTTGCAACTACAAAATCTGCACATTACGTGTGCATTCAACACAGAAAGCTACCTTATATAACAACTTTGTTACAGTTGCAAGATCAAGCAGTCAACATTCAGAACATGCAAGCATGCCAGGTGCCTGAGCAACTTTATCTAGGCTCCCGTGTGCATATGTAGCCTTTAACTGTGTACTAAAGACGGTTGCTGTTGCAAGACCCCAGACTTATGCTGCAGAAGTTGGAAGGTGTGTAACAATCTGGTTGGAGTCCTGCAGACAACTGGCTCCTTCGCTACATGCTTAAGCACTGCACCATAATGCATGCCTAGAAGGGTATCAAGTTAGTTGCACAAAAAACTCTCTTTTAAAAAAAATTCTAAGCAAATAAATATTCCATCATGTGTCATCACACTGACACACATGCGGTTCATCAGCAGGAAATCGAGTAGCTGAGAGCAACAGTGAGTTGCTATTCTTTCTTTCTGTGGGGGATGGGACACACTTTGCCTCGGGGTTTCACACATTTGCTGACAGCAGAAGAATAAGACTCAGGAATCCTGGGTCATATTGCAAGCTCTGGAGAGGAATGTGCTCTAGTGGACACAGATCTTCCTTCTAGTCTAGCTCCGTCTCCTCCTTTCCACCCTATCCCTGTTCTAGCTCAGTGGCTTCCCTTTCCCCCAGACTCGTTATTCTAGTCCCATTCTCACACTTCAGCCTTTCTGCCCCACTCCCACCTTTCTTCCCTAGCTGGTCCTCATCTTACCATCCAAGTCCGATTTTCCCTCCAGCATTCCCAATCTCCTCTACTCCCAATACTTGGTGCCAGAATCTTTTCCCAGCCAGTCCCAATTTCCTACCTCCTGCCCCAACTCCTTACTTCCTTTTTCCCTTATGCCCTCTGGTCCAAGTTTCCCTCTCCTAGATCCTTGGCCAATCTCCCTCTTCCATTCAACCCTACCTCAATGACTCCCAGCCTTTGCCTTGATTCCCAAGATCCTTATCCAATGTTAGTCCCTCTCCTGATTCCACCTCTCATCAGCTCAGCGCCCAGCTTCTTTGCACAAAGCTAGTTCTCTTTCCCCACCCCAACTCCCCTGTTCTTCCCAACACACTGATGCCTAGCCCCAGTCTCTTGGTGCAACCAGATCCAAGCTATCCTCCCCATTGAGCTCCCTGCCTCAGAAGTCTTCTCTGCACCCTCACAAATCCAACTCCCAGTCTCCATACCCAACTAGTCCCTATCAAACTTCCCTCCCTAGACTCCAGTCCTATTATCTGCCTCATTGTCTCTTCCGATCTACTCATGTTGCTTCCTTCTAGTTTAGCAGACTCCTTCTCCATTTTGCCTTGCAGCTAGTGGGATATGATGAAAGGGAGGGCAGTCAGAAAGCACAGGAAATCTCCCTGTGCTCATTTCTGATGCTGGGGCCCACCCTGGCTTAGAGCACCAAGAGGAGATGTTACAGGTGAAGTCCTTCTAAAAGCCACTTTCCCCAGGATGGAGTGTGCTGTCACCCTATGGGAATGGCATGTTTACAGTATGGTGAGCAGCAAGGGCTGTGAAGGGACAGATCATATTTACTTTAAGAAAGCTACACGCAAAAGTATGATGTGCAAGAGAAAACAAGGAAAACATGCAACAGGTCAAAAATAGCAACAGTTAATGTGATCGTATTTCAAGTTGGCACTGAAGGTTTGGTCATTTTCATCTATAGTAGACTGACATCAGTAATACTGTATCTCTGAAGCTGTGCAAGAGGCAGCCTCCCTCAAATATACAGTTGCTTCATTACAAAAAGTAAAAAGACTCAGTTCTATTTTAAGACAGCTTAATATAAACACTTGTGATCCGTGCAAGCAGAGATTACAGAAATATATCCGTGTCTGATGACTCTGGCCACTCTTGCAGCCAAAATCTCTACTCTTTTGTCAAACATAACTCACGTTTGCCTAAATCCTCATGTTATAACACTGTTCAATAGCACATGTGTATAGGTTTACAGTCCCATATTTCCGGATTACTTCCGTGGCATCTTTTTTAAAAGTTCCCCTAACCTATAATGCTTTAAAGTCGTTTGTTAATTTAGAACAGTTAAAAACTCCTGAAGCCTGGAGTCTGTCACTAGAGGAGGGCTCTGACAAACACAGCAAGTATAAATGCTTCCAGGAACACAGCTCAGGTCCAGATCCTTCAGCCTATCCCAAAAGCTTTAGCTCACAGGGTCCAATGGCAAGGAAGGGGCTTTTTCTGAAAGCTCTGTTCAGATATGGCTGAGAAGGACAGAACAAATGGTCTAAGATACAATTTAATACAAGCTACTGTGAGTTAACTTTCACTTACTGTGGGCTAAGAGTATGGGCACAGGCATAACTACAGGGCAGCTGGTGGGCTGTAAAGCCCCATCTTTATCTAACTTTACTGCGTCCAGTTTTGGGCTCCACAATTCAAAAAGGATATGGAGAAGCTTGAGAGAGTCCAGAGGAGACCCACGCGCATGATAAAAGGTCAGGAAAACAGACTTTACGATGAGAGGCTGAGAGCCATAAAACTCTTCAGCCCGGTAAAGAGCAGGCTCAGGGGTGATCTGGTGGCCACCTATAAGTTTATCAGGGATGCTCACCAGGATCTGGGGGAATGTTTGTTCACCAAAGCGCCCCAAGGGATGATGAGGTCAAATGGTCACAAACTCCTTCAGGACCGTTTCAGGCTGGACATAAGGAAGAACTTCTTTACCATCTGAGCCCCCAAGGTTTGGAATAGACTGCTGCCAGAG